TGTACTTGCAATTTTAATTTGTTAGCTTATTGATTCAAACCTTCCAATGCCAATTCTATATTTATTTGTACATTCAATTTTCTTACCCATAATGAATATTTTATTTATCTCACTTGTTTGCAAAATACTGGTTTTGAGATAAAAAATAACAATTATATTAATAATTTCATAATAAAAATAATAGTAATAATAAAAATGATAAGGCTTACATAGTGSTTATTCAAATCTGCTATAAGCATTTGAGCTAAATAAATTTACAAAGAAAACAAAAACAAAAAATTAAGAAATACAGATATAATTAAATTTTTTGCAAACAAGTTTTAAGTCCCAGAAATAAAAGYTTTTAATTTCTTTTGTTAGTTCAATGATTSAAACATTGTTGAAGTTGCTTTGAATTCTTTGTTTTTATAGTTCATCACGTCATTCTTTCTATAATAAGTGCAATGATTATACAATTTTTSGACAACTGGATGGATTGGATCACAMTGTGCTAATTCAGTGATCTCRTTGTTATAGTCCCATTGATGAGGKCCTAAGAAGTGAGCATAATGGTGCTTAATTCCCTGGGACATCTTGGCTTGGAAGTCTTTTTCTTCATCCTCAAGCATTTCCTTTGTTGATGGTAGTACTGTTTTCTTCATTAGTACAGCAACAATAAGCCTTGCTTGTAAACTGAACTGAGGGAAAGGACAGATACGTATTGGCAGGCCWATAAATGCCATCGATGGGAACTTTATATTGAATAAGTGTTTATATAGATGTGTTACTCGACTGTCCTGAACAGTGATTCCACACTCCTTGCTGAGGAATGGAAAAGAAAACAGATATCCTGTACAAAACATGATGACATCAGCTTGTCGTCTTTCACCATCTTGAAAGACAATCGTACCATCATCCTCTATCATACTTATATCATTAAGCTGTTCAAGGTTACTTGGTAATGTGCATGTTATGCGGTTCCCATGGTGACTAAGGTAAACAGACTGAGCTTCATTGCACAAGTCTAAACTAATATCAATACCAGAAGCAGCTGCACCAACAAGMACAATYTTTTTACCAGAGAACATTTCTGGACTTCTATAATGATGGCTGTGCATTACAGTGCCTGGAAATTTCTGAAGACCTGGAATTTCTGGTATCTTAGGATCTGAGTAGTGCCTGGAAAACATATAACAACATGATGACTACAACTAGAACTTTGGTTAAAACCAGATGAGTTATTTATACTTCTTGCATAATGTGAAATATTAAGCTTACCCATTACACACCACTACAGCATGAAAATAAGATGTCATCTTCTCTTTACTGGTTAAATCTTGCACAGTAACCTCCCAAAGATTYKTGTTGTTGTCTTGAACCTTTGGTGTTATACACTCTATTTGATGGTTCAAGTGTATAAGGTTTCTTAGTGAAAAGTGTTCTGTATAGTCCTCAAGATATTGGTAAACTTCATGATGTGTCATGTATGATGCCATGTCATCTGGGAAAGGGAAATCAGGAAAAGCCATCACTTGTTTGGGAAGATTTGACCTGTCAAGAAATAAATGTGAAATGTTTGTTGACCAACATGTTTTGATAGGTTGATGCATGCATTTAACACATGTGACTCTTTACATCAACCTATTCTTTATTGAGGGGCAGTCAGAATCTCTTACACATTTCAATCTCCTTCTTATGAGTTTCTATAGGGGAAGCAAATCATGACGACCCAGCCATACGCCTGGGATCATTGCCATGTCATTGAAATCTCACTCAGAATGCTGAATTTCCAAAAGTCTTAATAGATATACTGATACATTTATGGTTGCAACATTTTGGTAGCTCAACAATCACATCGAACCTCGATTGTTATCACGGATGATTGTGTTTTGATAATCKAGACGGAACAAGAGAGTTCACAGCAAGGAATCTAGTATTACCTTAGATTCTTGTACATGCTTGARTGAATTGGCAAACCATGTTCATCATAGCCAGTTCGATCAGTGTATACCCACGTCCCACCAACACAACTGTTTTTTTCGTAAATGACTGTACTAAAGACATTRGGTTGGGCAGCAAGATATCTACCTACACATAAACCAGCAGCCCCAGCACCTATTACTGCTACACGAATCATTGCTTTGTATTAATATAAACACTAAAACTTCAACAACACTGTTTCCCTATACCTTTTGCAACCTGAAAACATTACGTAAAAGTTTACGCAAGCGCATCGCATTCGTCGCCAGACCCCTACCACAGGAAGCCCAAGCATCCACAGCTACTATTATTCAGACGCTCGTGACACAGTAATTCAGTTTTTCAGAATGCGCTATAGCGATGATTGTTTTCCATGAGCGTTTCATCTTTGCTTGCTGTGGATTTTTAACACTCCTTCAATTTTTTCTTACTGTTGTTGTTCGAAAATTGACCCTAAAAGGTACGGAGTCAGCTCAGGACCCTATAGGGTACGTAATAGCCTGCTAACAGGCGTTCCTGCTGGGGGCCGAGAGTTCCTGCTGGGGGCCGAGAGAGAATGGGGATCTCTCTCGGCCCCCAGCAGGAACGCCTGTTAGCAGGCTAGGTACGTAAGGGTTTTATTTTCTACCCTAAAAGGTCCGTCGAGCACACCTACCAACGTATATAAGGGAGTTCACCCCAATGAAATATTTCGTCGCAGCTTCAGGGTTTTTTGAGAAAACAAAAATGAGGATGACTGGCCACCCTAATGACCCCCTCTGATCCGCCCTTGATTTTGTTTGCCATGTCTAGAATGGAAGTTGACTAAAATTGTCAATCCTGGAGTTTTGTTGTAGGACTTTAATTGAAGCTTACTGACTTAGTTTGAAGCTAAACGTAAGTCAATTCGACGTTTCAAAGTGAATTTTTGCTGTGCAGGTGCTGATCGTTATATGGTCTTATATAGAGAATGACTGCTGCAACTTCACTTGACAATTGTGATTTTTATTAGAATTTTTACAATATACACAGCATAACCAAGTTAAATCACCAAACACTTCATGCTATCTATGCAGGTTTATGTTGGTAGGGAGGATGCTGGGTGTAAAAGCTCGTTCAATATGTGAGACAGTTTAGCATTATCACGTCGTGAATTTTGTCTCTTCTCAATCTTGGTTCTTTCTGTTGTTTTATTGCTTTGCTCATTGCTTTTGTCCCATTCCTTCTCAGTTTCACTAACATCTCGACTGTGTTCATTTTTCTCCTTAGTCTTGTCAATGACAGGGAGGAAAAACTCTCGTTTCTCTTTGCTTCTGGCAATATCACGGCGATAACGTCGCACCACGTTGTCTTTCATCAGAAAATCTCTATGATCCGGAATGCACTCGTACCAGACCCTAAGGTATTTAGCAACGGTCGGATCTGAAGTATCACCAAACGTTAGCCTGTTAGCGCTKATTGGACAGTTTTGCTTGTTCGTGCAGCGGTACTTTAAAGTGCGTGTCACGTGATCAGGGTCCATCTGGGTCAGCTGATTTGACGTCATAGTCGAAGAAGGAGGTTGTGCGCATGTGTAGTAGTTATCACGGCCCCAAAACGCCTGAGTGATTTTGATGATYTTTTTGTCACCACAAAGAAGAGCGTCGTTTCCTCCTTCACAAATGGTCGTCGTGTTCTGGGAAAAGATAGCATAATAGTTCCTTCAGTCTAAAATTGACGTAATAAAAACATGGAGTTATATGTCAACACTTACAATTACTAATACAAGAGCTGGACTGTAGGCGCCTCCTGCGGATCCAGGAGCTCCTTGAGTGCCAGGAGCCCCWGAAGGGCCAGGAGGTCCCATCGGTCCWCTCATTCCTTTGATTCCTTGTAAKCCGTGAAGTCCTGGTGGGCCTCTAGGTCCKATAATYCCTGGTGGACCCTGTTTGCCTTTTGGTCCGGTGGCACCRGGTAAGCCGSTGTATCCTTGTACCCCTTGTGTGCCTGGTGGTCCTCGTGGTCCATCGGGTCCTTTGGGTCCCGCTGCGCCCCTGAGGAAGAAGCCTACAGCAAGTGGTTTATTGAGAATGTCATCATAAACCAATTCGTCGAGGAGGTCCTGGGTAACGGGAGCTCCAAGGTGTGGCCAGTGATCACGTGATACATTGCCCAATGTAACCTAAAAAAAAAACAACAAAATAAAAAACTTCACGGTATGCTTAAAATTTAACGTGTAATTTTCTATACATCTGCTTTACATGATTTGGAAGTGTATACTCTGCCTTAGGACAATATCAGTGGTATAAATGCATTGCTTTTCTGATTATGACGATGTGTATTTTGACACTTTGTGCTCAGTTGCAAACCAGTGTAACTCCAGGTTTAGTGTGCATACGTTGCTATCTGGAATGGTGACCCTATCTCTTGTGACTCCATTTATATTTCCGAACGATATTTGGACATATGTGATATTAGTACGTATGTCCGTACCYGATTGATTTGCGAGGATCCTATAACTAGAGGAGTTTGCGGGACATGCAGGAAACTTGTGACTTGCCATATTTTAACCAAGAAAACAATCAGAAAACTGAATTGGGAATTCGATTGCTTGCAATTTTACCACTGAAATACTCGGCGCAATTTGCCCACTTTTGACTGTACGTCAATTAACAAAAACCGTTCTTTTCGATGTAAAAAGCCAACGGGAGTGAGATTGAAAACGTGTGAAAAATATTGGCGTTTTTACATTTTAGGGAATACTGGGCATCAATAAAGYCAAAGACAAAGCACRGATGTATCAATTTCTGACGCGGCTTACCTGCGGTAGAGCACTAGAGATRAMTAACACTAATACCACTATCATTGCCATTTGTTTATTCTTCGATATTTCTCCCTGAAAAAATAGTGAAATGCACTGAACTTTAATTTCACTCTATCATGAGATTAGCAAGGTATGGTTAAAATTGGTTTGAAAGGCGCTAAAAAAAATAAAAAAACATCATCAAAAGAAATCACAATTGGTTCAAATTAAACCTTACTTTTTGTGGGCGTTCTGCCATTCACATCATTCCAAGGTCATTTAACAGTCAAACTGGAATTAGTCTCCAAGGACAATTTTAAAGATCAAAACTCAATATATTTCTATTGTTCTGTAAAGAAATAGATCATCGTTTACCACAGCTAACCAAAGTACGTGTGACTGGTGGTACGATCTTGTGCGGGTACCGGCTTAATTGACAAGATCTCACAACAGGTTCTGACACAGGGAGCCCGTCAACTCAATTTGTAATAAATCATGAACTTGCAAAAACCTATATATTTACCACTGTAAGCCTACAGCACATGCAGACTCCTTTTAGGCCAGAGCAACTACACTGATGGGTCTGGACGTGACGCCTGCGCAGAGTCAAGGAATAACAGTCTGTATTACCACAGGAAGCCCATAATATGCCGGGGATTCAGTTTTTTTTAAAAAACTAGGAGACATAAAAAACAGAAAACCAGATACATTTTCTACATCCTAGAACCATTTCAAAAGTTTCTTTTGTTCAGAACAAATGATCTCTTGTTCAAGTTGSTTCCTTATTTGTTCAAAATCAACTGATTGTGAATTTGAAAATGTTCTTGGATGCACAAAAGCGTTTTTACAATACAACCCCATTTTTTTACAATAATGTGAAAACGTGCTGTATTTAATTCAACTTATCAATAGCTTACACAGGAGTACAGTAAAATTTCTTTTTCTTTTACTTATCGGTATTGTCTTATTTAATGACTTTCTTAGATGAGAATGTAGTTAATGATTTGTTTTCTCTTGATAAAACTAAGTTATTTATACAAATCAGGGCTGGGTTGTTCAAAGCCTGATTAGCGTTAATCCAGGGTTAACTCCATAGGTTTTCTAAGAGTTAACCTTAGGATTAGCGCTAATCAGGGTTTGAACAACCCGGCCCAGGTTTTAAATATCAGATCAGAAGTTATACTAGTCTGATCAAACTGCTTACAGTCCATAACATCAGACAAACTATCTCCCAAAAATGTTTATTTACAAAGTACCATCTGAACACATCAACATTGGTAATAACTATTTACATAACTGAAAAACACTCTCTCCATATACAAAATATAGTTAATATTCTCCTTCACARCTGAACTAGCCTCCTACAAAACCGCTGCTACTGCTGGGCTTCTTGTCCCTTCCCAAGGATTACACAGGAAGCCCATGCAGAGGAATAGCAGCAAAGGAGTTGATATACTTTAGATTTTGCCATTCCTTTACAGCATCAAAATATCATTCATTGAAACAAAACACCATTGTCATTACCATGCACAAGCTTTTCAATAATGCAAAACAAAAAATGGGATTTTTGAATTAAAGAAATAAGGATCCAATAGTCTTCTTCACAGTTCCCTGCGCCATCAAGAAAGGTAGCCGTGCCTTTGTATCAAAGTGAGCRACCATTGAGTGTACAATTATAGAAACCTTCTTTTACACCTACAGACTATTATTCACAGGTATCTATCATTGCATGCTCAATGGTTGTCTTGCTTCAATGTAAAGGCACAGCTACCCTTCAAGATGGTGTAGGGAACTGTGAAGGAGACTATTGGATAATCAAATTTCATATCAGGTTACTAAATGGTTCTTTGATCTAGTCCCCATACTGAAAAGCAAAAGGTGCTTTAAAACTATTTAAATTACAATGTATGTAAAAAGTCATTTTACAATTGTTTAAAGCATCATTGATCTTGCTGAATACACTTCAACTCTTTCCAGTTATTATTAAAATGACAGCTTGTTATAGAACTACTATCATCATACTATAAAATAGTATTTTTGATTTGGAAAGATCCTGTAATTATCTGCTGTCTTTGATATATGTCTAGAGAAGATATCTATTTAAATTATATGCTTAAGTAAAATGCAATTTTGTAGCTTACTGTAAAAGAGATATGCCTGGCACAAAGTGTTCATGTATATTCACTATTGTACTGGAGTGACACTGTTCACAGTACTCGTGCTTCTCCAAATAGCTGGTAACCTGAAATCGGAGAATTTGACTTGACATGATGCTCAGTAAAGGTTGCTGGCCATTGGTGTATTTTCTAGCTAGACAATAGGCTTGTCCATGTATGTGCTGTCCATTGCCTGGTAATTGGTGTATTTACAGGTATATATACATGTCCAAGTCGTCCATGGCGATAGCGAGCCTGCAGGATGTTAATGTATTACATCCTACACAGTGCAGTATCATAAAGCTGTGCTAAATTTCTTCAATAGTTCAATTTTCTTGATTAGTTGTTAATTGTAAAGTGTCACTATCACCAATTATAACAGTCTCTGATTCTTCTCTGGCTATAGTTGTAATACTGTATGGTGGTGGTGGTTGATCAGTTTTGATAGGATCCTCCACTGCATATTCTGGAGGAACAAGAAATGTTGCAGGAACATCAGGTCCAAATGGATATTGTGTGAACATGTACGCTGGTTGTGGTACAGCTGGTTCCTCTTCGTATTGTCTTGATCTATCCTGAGTCTAAATATAACAATATATGTATAAATTATTGTCTTGTTTGCTTATTTAGTTGTCAAGTGAAAGTGTAGCAGTCAAAATTTGAACAGAAGTTAACAATGTGGTAAGGTTGCAAGATTCAACAGTCTGATATTCATTTTATATCATTTCACTGAATAATAAGAGGACTGCTCTCAAGAAAGGCAATGCTTTATCAAAGAAATAATTTTTCATACTTGTTCGACACCACTTCTTTGTAACAATAGCTGTTGTCTTCGTCTATTTCTTGCATAAAAATAGAATATCCAAAATATGAGCTTTAATACGATCACCACAATAAGAATTCTGTTGATAAAAAACTCATATGATTATTGATGAAAATGAAATATCTTAAATCATAGTTAATAGAGGGGACCATCTCCCTCTATTAACTATGCTTAAATTCAACTACATAGTTTCTAAGCATGATTTTTATTTATCAGGTGTTATAACGTTCAATTTGCAAAGAATAGCAATCAAAATAGAATGGTATTTTCAAAATCACCACCTTTGGAGAGTATATTTTTGAAAGTACTTATGTTCAGCAAGTACTTCCATCATTTATGTGGACTAGAGGTCAAAAATGATGAGAAGGTATACTTTTTTAAGGAGTCTAATGAGGTCTCCCAGCCTGGGGGAATTATCAGATGACAATTTAACAGAGGTTCAGGATGTGTTGACAGTAATTATTACATATGATAGATGTGAAATATATCAGTGACTATTTGATGAATATGACTGCTATATTACCGGCTTGATTGAATTGTCGGCAGTATGATACAAACAATGATAGTGGTGCTATCTGTTAGTTAACATTGGCAATTTTCAAGCATAAATTCTCAATATTAATTTTTCTAAGTCAAATACTGTTTACATATAAAATTCATTCAGTAACAGCACAATTAATATAATATTTGGAGCAACGTTTTTGAAGGCACGACAATATAAATAAAAAACAAAGAAAAATATTAAAATTTCGAATAACTTTGGCACATTTGAACATTTATCGTTTGTAACTAGTCTCAGACTAGTCTTATAGACTCTACATTACTTGAAGGAATCGTTTCGAAAACTGACCAATATCATTACAGTGATCTTATGACGTAATAACAATTCGGTATAGCCGACTATATATCGTTAAAAATACACCTGAATTACCGACATAGTTATTAAACTAGTGAAATATACTAAGAGGTTTGATTGAAAACAAATAAAAAAAATGATTTTAGAATTTTAGAAGTACGCCATACAYACAGACATATTCTTTAGAATTTGACAAAAAATAACAATAACAACAGAAACATTGAGCAAAAATTTCATTTTTAGCATACTTCTAACGTTAATATTTCATACTTACACGTAAAAAAGTAAGTCCATCATTTCTCAACACCCTTCAATTATGCTTAAAAATCAAGCAATTTCATGAAAACGTAACGAGGACAATTTCTTCTGCCCACCGACAGTGAGATGTTGTTTCTTTTCTGTAACTAAGTCAAGAACGGCAGCATTTTCCCTAAGAAAGGGCAACATTTCAGATGTAAATTCTTCTTAAAACTCTCAGTAAAAGAGGGAGGAATAGTCGCCAAAAGACAAGCTGCAATCGGGTTAATATAGATAACAACAGTAACAGTTTCTATCCAGGCTGACAAACTCGGTATTTAGAGTGCGATTCGCAAGCAACTTTTAAGTTTAAGCTTATATCCGTCGATAAGCGCCACAACAATACACAAAAATTCGTAATAACTACTTCGTATTATTCTTAAAACTATAACCTCATTTCATACCTAAGGAAAGACAACAAATTACCAACATCACCGTTACTCCAACACCTGATACTTGGCGAAGGAGACGAGTTGAAAGTGGGGACACAAAATGTCCGATTTCTGGGCGAATTGAAATAGTTTCTAGGTTAATATAGAGGTATATATATATGAATAATATTAAGGTTACCTTGACGTTATCTACTTGGCATTATTATCTTCCTATCAGCTCTATTTTAGTCGAGTTTTTGAGTTTCAAACAGAGGAGAGCACCTGCGATATCTTCGCCTTCGTCAATCGTACGATGTCGAAACAATTCGACCCCTCCCCTACTGTGCAAGTATTATTACATTCCAGTCTCTCTCAAGTTTGTAAATTAAAGGCGGGGATATTGTGCTGTTATCGCGTATTTAGAGGAAATTTCCTTCAGATTTGATGTTGTCGAATGAGTAGATATATAGCTTTTGCGTGATCTGTTCGCCTAAAGCAATATAGAACAATATCACATTACGTACGTCATCATTGAAACGTGCTTGATCATTGATCAGATGTCAAAATATGACCATAACAAAAAACAATAACTAAAAAAAATAAATCTACACTGAATTATAGTGTACCTAAATTTGAACCTTATATGAAATAAAGACTGTTTCCTTTTTGTTTTGTATAGCATACTGTTTTGTACAAAAAATTAAGTACAATAAAACGACAACATACAACAAGAAGACAAAGAGAAAGTGGAGATCGTCAATAAATTGTTTCTATTACAACTGATTAATGACGGTGTTGGAGAGGTATACAAAACAATTTCCTGATTCAGAAATTTTGTCAGTCATCAACTGGACTTCGTATCTGTGCATAAATTTCCTGTCTTTTCGGTGATGTATTCATTTGACGTCACTACAGTACCTGGCGGGCCTCGTGACCGTACCATGTCGTGTTCGTGTTATGAATACCGTGCCGAAGTCTACTTTATATCCGAGGCAGGAAGGATAGAGACATGCATTACTCATATGCATTTGTAAATTAATACCATTCTTGCAATCAAAAGCAGAATATATCCATTCATAATATACTGTACTTCCCATATCATCAGTTTCAGTCAGCTTCCGTTATGATTCTATAATTTCACAACCTCGTTCAAGTGTGTTTTCGCTTTTTAGTTATTTAGTGAACACAATAATAAAACAGCTCTCATATAGATTTATTGTTTTATTTTAAGGTTTATTGTACAATTCTTAAGGTATAGTTAAAACTATATCTTTATTTTGAAACGTTGCCTGATTTCATAAGTTACAGTTAACAAGAAATAAGCAGTACTCGGTACGTTTACATTCAGTTTTAAAAAAGCCTGCAGTTTATAGCTACATATAGTCACTTGAAGACAATTTCCCCTAAAATAACATTGTATAAGTCAGAAAGTTTAGATTGCATTATAGTTTACATGCATGAATAGCTGAAATCGTCATCTTTTTGCAGTATCATCGTTGGATATTAGATACAAATATCTGTACAAGAAGTTCAAACTATTTCAAACGCAAGAAAAGGATGTAAAATATGATAAAATGAGTGTTGCCATGGGGATCAGAAGTTGATAACTGGTAACAAGGTTGTAAAACATTAGAAAGTAACCTTAGTAATGTGAATGTGGTACAATTCTATTCCACATTTTTAGCCATATCTTATTCAACTTTAACTTGCTCAGTTTCATCTACTTTAGTTTCATCTTGCTTAGCTCCATCTTGTTCAGCTGTTTGACCTTCAGGGTGTTCACTATCGTCTACTTTCTTGGCTGGTGGTTCATCAGATGTTTCTTCTGTTTCTCCATCATCATGTCTTCTTTTCCTGGATTCTAGTGCAGCCTCTTTTAGTGCAGAGCTTTCACCTTCATCTTTAGGTGGTTCACTTGTTGCCTCACTGGTTGCTTTCTTTGATGGTTCATCTTCAATTTTATCTACTTTCACAAATGCAAAAGCTATATACATCCCTGAAAAAAGATTTGCCAAATAATACTAAGTGATACATGTAGTTAAGGCCTTATGCACCTCTTGGTGCGAAACAGCACGATGATGATGATGATGATGATGATGATACATGTAGTTACATTTCAAGAAAAAATTCTAAAATGTTAACATGAATCAGAGAAAAGCACACTTTACTAATTAGATTATAAAGCATCTTACCTACAGCTTCCCATTCTTCTTTAGACAATGTCCTCTACAATAAAAATGACAAATACATTAATCACTTTGTCAATCAATCAATCAATCAATCAATCAATCAATCAATCAATCAATCAATCAAATGAGGCAATCAATAGGTCTGATACTTGGTGCAATACAGCACATACCACAAAGTCCTGACTCCTTTCTCTGTGATCTCTATATCTACTTGTAGAAGTGTCAGTCTTGCCAGACTGTAGGCCTTGAAGAAAATCTTTAGCATGACTATAGGAATCCTCTGATGGTGATGTCAGCTTATCACCTTCATGACGTACAGGATATGTCTGGAAAAGAAAGTCAAATCAGATTCCTGGAATAAGTTGATGTTCTCTTTTATTGACATACCTCTAGAGCATTCATCCTTGATAAAAGGACCAGGTTATCCTCACTCCTTTCCTTGAAGAATTCATGAAATGGTTTGGCATATTCCAGCTTCATGCTATATTTTTTAGCCATCCTATACAAGGTAGATAATCAAACAATTAGATGAATTAATTACCTATAATAGCTGCAGTTCTATAGTGCAAATGTCAGCCAGTTTTATCAGTGACTTAAATCTATCAGCAGAAAGATTCAATTATTGCGCTTTTACATCATCAAATACAGAGAAAGAATCAAGACTACCACTTGGCATTCAAATGCTTCCTGATGTGAGCACTTAACCATATAGAAAAAAATATCAAAAACAAAAACAAAAAAAGAGAACTGTGGCCTCAGTTTCCATCTGATTTCTAGGGTTTTTCTGTTGTTTGTTATTAAACAAATATTAAACAACTTAACAAATGTACTCACTTTTCCAGAACAGGGAGGTATAGCAGGAACTCTGGACAGTTAACCACATCTTCAAGTTTGAAGTCATATTTACATCCATACAAGGGGAAGGAATCCTTGTTTTCAAATGTGATTTTGTACACATCATTCCCGAATTCTAGTCCCTCTGCTTGTTTGACTCCTTTACTGAAATAAGAAGTCAGAAAATAGCAGCTATAACAATACTCCAATACACACAATGACCAATTTAAATAACAATCTTGACTCTTGTACATGTATTCCTGTAAAAGCTCTTTAGTATAGATGAACTCTGTACTGATATTTTCATTTATTGGTTTGTCAATTTTCAATMTGTTCTKTGTTCTTTTAAAACACATTCTGATRTTGAGCTACAKAACACTTACACTAGTTCATATGCATTTGTTGTAGTTCCTACAAAATATCCACCAGGCTTTAGTCTCTCRCAGGCATTTCTCAGCATCATGTCAGCTTGCTCATAACTCTCAAATGAATAATGGAAAGAAAACTGGCAGCTTGTCAGGTCAAATACCAAGTCTTTCTCTTCGTACTTGTCGGCAAGTCGCTCCTATTTAAAAAAAATGAATTATAGCAACACTCAATGTGACAAAAGCCTTGGTTAATCATGTACCAACCAGAAGATGATTGGCTGTTAGAACAAAGTTACTTGTGAAAAACCATTCTGATCATGGTTGGCACATTAACATGAGTTTGCTGATAAACATTGAGTATCGCTATAAGCAACATCAATGACAGTTTGGTATTTAGGAGGTCTTAACTGACCTGGATTGTAAAGTCCAAATATAAGATTCAACTGATGTCAGTTATAAGTAGATAAACTAGTTTTCAGACCTTACTACAATCAGCAACTATAAATTGTGAGTCAAACAGGGGATCTCTGTATCGTCTTTCTTCAGCTGTCTTCTTCAGCTCTTTGTAACGTTCTTTACACTGGTCTACAGACACTTTAGCAATGTCTGCACACACAAGTTTYCTAATTCTTCCTTTTTGCCACTTCAAAAGATCCCCACCTTTACCACAACACAGATCCAACACATGGATATTACGATAATTGAACCTACAAGAAAGACAGTAGTTATTTGAGTTAAAAGATGTAACCTGTGATGATAAAATCCTTGTAATTAAAACTCTCTCACTGGAAGATAAACATTTAACTACAGCATTACCTCTTGATTTCGTGAAGAAACTCATTAATAATGACACTCTTAACCCAGTTGTTGAAGTTCCTCATGTGRAAGATCCTACTTTCCTTYCTACTGTCCTTGGTTCCCTCAGGATGTTCATTGTAATGCTTGGCTACTGTAGCACCCAAAGCCTTGTCATCAGATTTCTGWTCACTTTCAGTTTTACTCTCATCTTTGCTTTCATCTTTTGCCAGTCCATTTGTWGCTTCAGCCTTAAATGCAAAGAATAAAACAACTTTTTGAATATCACATTGATTTACAAAAAAGGTTAACAAGTTGTAAATAACTGCATTTAAATTGCTTACACAAATGGCTACAAGGGAATTATGTATAATAGGCCACTAGGCTCATTAAGACCTGACTCACCAGGTCATTAAGGAATAGCAAAACAAATAAAACCAGATTGATGGATCAAACATAACATGCTTAACTATATTCATACACTGTAAAACAAATGATGACGAAAAATTGTGGAAAGTACTGAAAAAAAGGCAACAAGGGGTGGTAAATTTACCTGATCTTCTGCTGTTTGCGGCTCATTAGCTTCTGTAGAAGATAAGAACATAAGTTAAATTTAAATGATTTGAAAGATGACTGCTTTATTTATGAACAGGAAGGCGAACATCACGCAATGTAGAAGTTAGTAGTCTGGTTTATTAGATCACTAGTCTTGAATGTTCTAAACATTTTTGCCACCATTTCGAGTAATAGTAAAACAATGATTCAACGAGAAAACACTTTTCAACTACTACTTTGCCAACTTACACTTGCCACGTGATTTTGAGAAATGAAAACGCCGAAAAACTAAATGTTAAATCATAACATTTAATTGCAACATAACGGTACAATATATGCATATTTATATGCCTACCTAAATTGGTATCTGTTTTAACAACAGAATCACCCGTTGTCTTGAGTTCTTCAGCAGTTTTTTCGCTTTCAACTTCGTTAACAGTCGTCTCTTCGCTCACAGCCGCCATTTTGGAAGATCAAGAAGGCAGAGGAGGACTGGTGACAACACTTCCCGTGATCCTTTAACCRAACCACAGGAATCCCAAGAATATATTGTAGACAGATTTCACCCTTCCGATCCCATGTCAGTTTCCTAACAATTTCAGTCAGATTAATTACAGCACTACCTTTGTTGTATGACAAAAATTTGTGGAATTTCCAGAGGGTATGAATCCTCAACAAAAACATTAAAATCAACCCCTATGTCCCTATGTAGAATGACATCAACTATTGGTTGGGTGTGGCTCCCGGGGGGGGTACTCGACCCCATTTTGGATAGGTACGTGCCGCCAGCGGTCTAAATACCTGACCCTGTTTAAGACACTAGAAAGTAAAAATCCATACCCTGTTCAAGACAAATCGGAAAAATAAGGAATAGCAATCTGCGCC